AATTGCAGGCAGGCACAATACCAACACAGAACATTCTCCACCTGCTTGCTGTATCCTTTTACAACCAAAGCAGACGACACTATGCCACACCCAATTACCACCATCATTCACACATCATCCATGCAGTGTTTCTTTGGAGAGCCTGATGTTTCTGTGGCAAGGCACTGATGACAAGATAGTCCCTTCCACACAAGAGAGCTGCCTTCACAACAGCACTCTTAGCTCTTATATCATGGTTCCGCACAAGAAATCTTGCACCATTCTTCCCTTTGAACTTCCCATGAGCACAGACCTCTGTTGCTATTTTCCATCTTCCTGCAAAGGCAGACAGGTTGGCTGGGATAAAGCATGTATGGGATGGGATGGTGGTGACTGAGGGATTTAGGAATACCTGGACACTTCATTTGGCTGCCTGACCATCTGACTGATTTAAGAAGTTGTCAAAGCTTTCCTTTAAAGAGTCCTAAGCATTGCTCAAAGTTCACCAGCCCTTTCTTTCTAAAATAATGTTTCCCATTACCTACTACTTTTTGGAAAAGCACTGGGTGTTTTGGTTAGTTTAAAAAGGTGTTGTTGTTTTGTTTTTTTTGGTTGTTGTTGTTTTGTTGTGGTTTTTTTGTTTGTTTGTTTGTTTTTGTGGTGGTGGTAATTTTTTTTTTATTATTTATTTCAGCATGATTTGATGAGACAAAAGCCTTAGTGAGGGTGAGGGGAGTGAATCAAGCAAACATAATGGAAGCACCTGACAGATTAAAAGCACCAAGCCAGCACCTCCTGTGGCATTATATGAGGGTATGCAGGAGGCCGAGTGTTGCTGCTCCACTTGGGTGTTCTCTGGGCTGGGGAGAAGACCAGAATCTGAGACAAAAAGCAAGAAACAATCTGACTACAGCCTGCCATTGTGCAAGTGCTACCCGATGCAGGGGAAATTAACTGTCAGATGCCTGAAGTGTTTTCTTGCCCTTGTTGTTTTAATGATTCCCTTTCCCCTTTCTTTCCAGCACTATTACCTAAGCAAATCAACAACAGTCCCGGAGGAGAGCCCTTCCTTATTAGTTCTGCCCCCCTCTCCTCTCCAACAGTATAAATACAGAAGACAGGCTCAGGTGGGAGAACAGAAGCTGCAGTTAAGTCCTGCCTACTGACTTGCTGAAAGGACCACGCTCTTCCAAGATGCAAGTCTTCCCTTGTTGTTCATTACACCCGGACACAGAAAACTAACTTTGCCAGCTGGAGGCAGGAAAGGTTACAAAGTGGACACGCTACTGAAGTGTCACAGAGTGGGCTGTCACCCAAGTGGATACTCTCAGCTCTGCACAACTGCTCCAGAACCAAACACCCAGATCTGCTGCAGAAAAGCAAAACCCAGAATGTTGTGCAATACTTAAAAAAAAAAAAAAGTAAGTCTTAAGTCATTCTTAAGTCTCAAGAAGTGTTTTACAGTTAACACATTCCTTTTAGCTAGAAGTATGTATATATATATATATTTAATTTCTGTAATTTAGGAACAATGTAGGCAGTCATAAATCATTTTCATTTTTCTTTTTCTTAGCACACTCCAATCTTTATAAAATATCTATGGCTGAAGTCAGATGGCACGTGGAGAATGACAGTAGATTACAGAGAACTAAATAAGATCACACTGTCCATTCATGTAGTGTATCCAATATTGCTTCCCTGATGGACACATTGAGTAGGGAGATACAAACCTACCACCGTGTCCTAGACGTGGTAAATGTGTTGTTCAGTATTCCCATTCATGAAGAATTGCAGGGTCAGTTTGCATTTACAAGAGGAGGCAGGCAGTGGACCTTTCAGTTTCCAGGCGTACATACATTCACCAACATATTGTCATAGCTTAGTGGCATGTGACCTAGCAGACCAGAATAATCTTAATAACATCAAACTGTACCATTATATTGATAATTTCATGTTGACATCTGACTCACTGGGGGCATTAGGAAAGGCAGTAGACTCACTAACTCATTTACAAGAGAAAGGGTGGACTATAAACCCAAAAAAGGTGCAAGGACCAGGCTTTCCTGTGAAATCCCTGGGTAGTTTGGTTGGGAAAGACCAAAGTACTACACAGTGCAATAATAGACAAGGTTCAGGAGTTCCCGTTCCCTACGATGCACACCAAGGCAGCAGCAAGAATTTTGGGGTATACTGGGATACTGACATTCCTTTGTACCTCACTTAGTGCAGCTGCTAGGGCCTTTGTATTGACTCACAAAGAAAGGCCAAATGGGCCTCCCTGCTTAGAATCCAAATAGTGGGATTGAAGTGGTGTGGCCTACTTGCACCTTGGGGGACATTATTGGAGGTTGGGGATCAATAGGCCCCCTGGTAATAGGTACATGGCCTGCAGACACCATGGTCAACACTCCGGTTTTCATTGCTGAGGGGACCTTAATCATGTCCCTGTGGCAAATTAGGACTTCAGATATCAAACCAAAGGGTCTGGTGCAGATGGCCAGGACCATTTTCGTATTCAGCAATAAGGTCAGCAAAAATAAAATATGGACTGCGCAGCCCTTAATGTGGGTAGAAATTATTAGATTTACACTTTCTAAAAGTGATTTGATCTGTTGTTGAACAATCTGAGAGTCCAACCTCACTATTTCTCCACCTACATCATTCTTGAACCTTGTTTAGCTTCATCTTTGTGTTAGGAAAGTAAACTACCCCCAAAACAATTACTGAATGGTTTGAGATGGAAGGAACTTTAAAGCCCACTATAGTGGAAAAATGCTAAGTCATGGCCTGAACTGGTGGTTGAGCATCTGGTGGGAAGGTGGGGAGCTCAGCTGCATTCAATGTACCTGAGTGAACGGGTGGAGCCAGAATCCACTCCTACCCAGACCTCATTTAGGGGTTGGTAGTAGAGGCAGGGGTATCTTGCTAGAGATCTCTGTGTACCTGAGGTCTTTTGAAGGTAAGCAGCATTATTTTTTTTTTTATTTTTTTTTTTTTTTTTTTTTTTTTTTTTTCCCTCCTCCTTTGTTTTTGCATCCACAACTGTCTGTGTTTGGGCTTGTCCTCATTTGCTGCAGGCAAAGACTTCGCCCTCCTGCTACTATCACTCTAGTTTTCATCACTATGCAGCATTTCACCCACCCAGCTTCAACTCCCTGCAGGGCTGCTACCCGCTGGATCAGGCTGCCTAGGGCTTCATCCAACACGCCTTGAACTGTCTTAAATTTGTGGCAAATAACTGTCTTCATTTTGAGACATTGAGACACTGGCTAAATATAGGTCTGCAAGTGGAGAAAAAAATGCAGCTCTGTTTTCTATCTTGATACAGGAATTTGAAAATAAGTAACAAGATTACTGAATTTTTGTGTGTGTGTGTGTGTGTGTGTAATTGTAATTCCCTCTTCACGGTTGAGTTTTTGTTGTTTTTGTTTTGGTTGTTGGTGGGTTTCTTGGTTTTTGGTTGTTGTTTGTTTTTTTGCATCCCATCATCTTGAAGAGAAGTCAGGTAAGGGCACCTCATCAGCTCCGATTCAGAAATGGACACAATCCTCCAAGAAGCTGTGCTAACCAGCCCCTGCTCCACTTTTAGTTTGCTGGAATTAAGTAAGTTTCCTATTCATTTCTCAGATTCTGATTCTCCTCAACAAATGTGTAAATGAAAACAACCTTTGCGTCTGTCTGATTTAAAGCATATTAGTTGATGCCACAGTACAATGATTCATCTAGTGGAAAGCTTCCAGAATGTGCTCACCATGGGTTTCCACCATTACCAAAAAAGGGAGCATTCTTAAAGAACACTTGGCCATCTTAAAACATTTTCAGTCCTTTCCTGCCAACTAAAATACTGGTGGAACCAAGGCCAGTCATGGCCTTATGACAACAGGATGCACAACTGACCCGAGTATTAGGGATGAGAGCTATGCACCTGATACGCAATGCAAGAGCTCCCTCTCCCCACCTCCCTTAACAACTACATGGGAATGTTTTACTGTATCACCATCCCAGTTCAAAATGAGTTACATCTTCTCTCCCAAATGTGTGGTAGGGCCGTTGCTGTCCCGCAGAAACAAACTTGGCCTGGATTTTGTCTGTGTTGACTCAACGATCTGCATGTGTTATGCTCCTGAACTGAACACACCTGCATTTCCCCAGGCAGCCCAGCTCTGGGTGAGCTCCCACAGGCACTGTGGGGCTGGTTTCAGCACCAGCTTCTCAGAGCTGCACCAAGCCCCAATACTCCACCCTGCTCGCTGCTCCACTTCTCTAAGCTCTATCCACAGCCAACCAACCATTACCACATGTAACAATGCAAAGCCCAGCAAGTCCCAAGATCATCTGGGCCACTGTTTTCCTTCGTATGAAGAAATTCTGCTGTATGCGTTCACCGGGGTGGATGGAAGATAGGTATTAATTAACTCTTTAAACCTAGCCCTTAAAAAGCCTTCAGTATTACACAGCTCCAAATATATGGAAATTTTCCCCACTCTTGTTTGGAGAAATCATCTGTAGGTCATACTTCCACTGAGGTGAAGGCTTTCTTCGGTTGTGTTTAGGTATGCCAGCACTGCCCCCTTTAGTTTTTCTGTTTAAACAACTTTGAATATTCCTAAGCAGAAACACAGTGCCACCTACATGCTCCCCCCAAGAGCAGAGGAGTCCCACCATAAATTTACTGTCATCTACTTGTGCTGTGTTCTCCACAGCAGTTACTGGCAAAGCTTAATGTTACAGAAACAGTAATGTTAACAGACATGGAGTTTGCGTGCACTTGGTTATCTCTTATCAGCTACTACAACTGAAGTTGATTTTGTGCAGGTTTTGAATTTGTGACTTGCTAACAAATGAGATTTGTACTCCTTTACTGCCAATGCCTTTTGTCATAATCTTTTCCAGAGGTCAGAAGGGGAAGAACTCTTAACTTTCAGTGTAATGGATGCCTGGCTTCTAAATTAGACACTCAGGTCTAGAGCAATAGAAAACTTTTAAGTACCTCTCTCGCACCTTTAAACACAAGGTAGACATTAAATTACTCAGACCTTGATTTACACAAATTGCTTGTGTGCAGGCAGACAACGATCTGTTAGGACACTTTTCTAGAAATTTGAAATTCATCAGTATCTCATTATTTTAGAGGGCACAAGACAGCTCACATCTTACAGAAGATCATCACTTCTTAAAAGAATGGTATCTATAGTTTTTGAATTTCAGAGCAAGCTCTTAAAAGAAAAAGATTGAAATGTTCCCACTTGTTATTTTACATCAGTAACAGAAGCCACAGTTGCAAAACTTTTGAATTGTGCTTGAGACAGAACCTGTTTGATAGTTTAGTCCAGATGCAAACTTCTAAAACAAGAATTTCAAGTCGTTGCAAGGTTAATAACACCCATTTCATCATCGTGCTGTTTCAAAATAGCACTGGAAATCTCCATAAGCACAGGTGTGTCTGTTCAAAATCCCCTTTATAGCATTGTTTCTTGGCACATTCTGACCAGAATGTTATAATGTCTGTCATCTTCAGTTACGAGAGTCACCACAGGCCAGTCTTCATCAGGATCATTGGGATAAAATGTGATGAATTCATCGGTACTACACTTATACAGTCGATACACCTGGATGGTGTACTGCAGAGCATAAGCAAGGAGAAACATTTCCACCTATATTGGAACAAAGCAGAAATAGAACTTGTAAAATTTAATGTGCCTTCTACAAGGTATTTCTTATAGAAATACCAATTGGATGTTACTTTTAATAAAAAAACATGACTGATAAAATGTGAATGTATATACATGCAGTACCTTGATGCTTAAAACCATCCATGACTTGCTGCATAAATAGCTCGAAGATGCCATGCTCTTTGGTTGCAGAAATGGCATAGTAAGATACTGCTCCTTAGGAAATGGTGGTCTGTTCAGAGAATCTCACTTCCCTACTGCCACAAGCAGGTAGGAAAGATGTACTTTCATATCAACGTTCATCCCATTAAGTCACCAAACCAGACAAAGAGCAGTTTCAGGCAGTGATCCTTCCTCTTTCTGTGAGTACTCTGACTTTCTAACCAATCAGCTGCAGACAGAAAGCCCTTACAAAGCCTGTACATATCAAATGGACTTGAGAAGTTTTTTCCAGTTTCTTCATTTTGTCTACTACAGTGACAAGCATGTTCTAAATAGCAATTTACAGCAAGCATCACCAAAAGAAATAATTTTAGTCAGTATAAATATATGTAACATCATTTATTGACCAAACTTGTCAGAAGAACCGTCACTGCAAAGAAAAAACACTGCAGCTTCACCTTTACAACAAATCATCTAATTTAACAGTAGTCTGTCTCATCTATGCTAGTTACTAGCCAATAAACATGAACCAAACATAATACTTCTGTGCTTTTAATGTCTTTAAACTACTGAGTTTAACTGCACTACCGTATCAGTTTTTTAAACTGATGTTACCTACAGTCTTTAGAACTATTCATCTCAACCTGCTAGGTTTTGTTTGGGATCTTTTATGTAAGTTTCTACAACATACAAGGCAATCATTGTCAGAATTCAGCAAGTACATGGACTACACAGAATCACCTCATCTCTTTGAGAGGTACAATTTATCATATTATTATAGTGTCTTAACTGTTAACACTAGGACAATTGCTACTATCCAAAGAATACCTTATTTCCAAAGAATGGTACCCAAATGTTATCCGCCACACAAAATTAGTGTTTATAAGGAAGATTTTTAGTACAAGTTGTTCTACTATAATTTTTCCCAATGAAAGACCAGGCTACATTAAGTTCTGACAGACTAACAAAAGCTGGATGATTTCTTAAGCCCCTTGAAACTGAGAACTCCAAGCAAAAATACCCCAAGTGCTGTAGGAACAATCTCTCCTTACCTGCTCAAGGCCTCCGCTGTGACCTATTTGATTCAGGTGATTATGCATTAGCTGACAAGGGTTGCTAGATGTATCACGAGCAAACAGTAGCCACGAGAAGATGGGAACTCTCCTTCCATTTTTCTCATCATTGTATAACTGAATGGCAGTGTTAAGCATCAAGAATTTCAGAGCTTCATACAGACTGTACTCCTCCTCTTCATTTTTAAACAGTTCATCACAAGCTTCTTGTTTCTCAGCAGAACATTTGATGTCACTTACACACTTCCACTGTTAAACAAAAACAATGTGCAACACATATCAATAGCCATCACTGTGCAGGAGTTGCAAAACTCATGAACTGTCAGATGTTCAGCACAGGTACTCTGAATTTAACTTGGGAAAGGCTTTGACATTATTAGAAACACTACAGTATACCCACAGCTGTTGCTCCGCCAAGGTCATGCTGGGTTAGTCTGATTTTGCTTTAGCTGGTCCTCAACAAAAGCAAAATAGGGGGATGCTGGAAATACTTACAAGGTGACAAAAAACGCTGTCAAAGGAGAAAGGTAACGGGCTTTGTTTCCTGTGTCCTTCATAGAATCATAGAATGGCTTGGGTTGGAAGGGACCTCAAGGATCATCAAGCTCCAACCTCCTGCTGCAGGCAGGGCTACCAACCTCCATAAATAATACTAGACCAGTCTGCCCAGTCTCCCATCCAACTTGCCTTGAACACCTCCAGGGATGGGGCATCCACAACCTTCACATTCTTTATATTTCATTTATTTAGAATGTCTGTCTGTATTGTGCTTATTTGGCCATGTTGTTTTGGTAGCTGGGGGTAGGCAGTACAGATAGCCTCTGATTGCAGTTTCTCAGGAGCAAGAGAAGGGGGAATACAGCAAAGTAGATGTGTAATTCTCTGGAAAACTGTTATGCCCTGTTTTCATTCTAGGTTAAGGCACAAAAACAAACAAAAACCACTCCTTTGAAATTACTTCAGCATTATTCTGCGGGTTTTTTTCTTTCCATGAGCTGTTCAAAGCAGCAACAAGACTTAATGGTAATATACATCACTTCTTCATAGAAACACAAAAAATAACAGAAGAAAAATGTTACTCTATTACACTGATTTCTTCATAGAATCTTTAACAATCTTCTGCACAGGTGCATATATGTTAATTCCAGCATTGGGCCAAAGCAAACGGTGAAGACCAGTCTGTCTTTGATATTTTGCAGTATACACAGGTAAATGTTTTGCTTCACTAGTGACAGCATCCCTACTCAAAATTATTTCTCACTTTTCCCATTTGACAAAGACCAAAACCAAACAAATACTTTTCCAACCTTCTTCTTTAGTAGCAATAAATATTCTTTTATTTCATCACTTATTTCTCCCGTCTTTCTCCTTGGTCTCTGTTTTAGCTGCCACTGCTTGATCCAGTCATATTTGCTTAACAAGTTCTCAGGAAGCTGGAAGTTAACAGAGGAAGAAAAGTCAGCTGAATTAAGAAATCCTGAAAGAAAGAACTGCACGTTATTATTATTATATTTTTATTGTTCATTGTCTTAACATGATTCCTTGTGTTTTTCTGAACATGTCATACTATGACCATAACTGAACACACCTGGCTGGGTAATATTTCATAGAATCGTATCATCCTATCATAGAATCATAAAATGGCCTAGGTTGAAAAGGACTTCAAAGATCATCTAGTTTCAACCCCCTGCTGTGTGTAGGGTCACCAACCACCAGACTAGGCTGCCAGAGCCACATCCAGCCTGGCCTTGAATGCATCCAGGAATGGGGCATCCACAGCCTCTCTGGACACAGAGGTTTGCCATCTCACAGTCAGAGCACTGGTCTACTACTATCCCCTGATATAAAGCAAGAGAAAAAGAAGTTTAAATTACTCCAGACTTGTTTTTAAAGTCCAGCAGCAGACAGCAGTGACTGTGTCTGAAAATTTCCTGGAACCAACAGAAGCAGCAATGAAAGACACCATATCCACCAGACCAAACACATTTCTTGGTGAAGCACTAACTACTTAGCCCAGAACACAAAAATTGTGTTTTCTTTCCAGAGAACTCCCTGAACTAGGGGACAAAGTTTCTTAGAAAGAAGAATACAACCTGAAGATCAGTTGATGCAACAGATGACACTCTAGTATAAGACCCGCTCACATGCTACAGGTTTTCTACTGCTTCCATGCTACAGCTATGTCTGCTCACTTAAGAGCTTTCACATTCCTCTTGAAGGACACACCACCAATTGTATGTGCAGTTCTGGGCTCTCATTTATTAACTCATTTTGCCATTAGAACTTGGGCAGTAGTTTGTGCTTCATATTAAGCAAACCATTTGACTAGAGCAGCATATGTACTGTCAGCCATGACCAACCAGTTTTCATTTTACAAGGACTCCGAATTAGCACTATGTTCTCTCTACTGGCAATGTTACAGTCAGTACAAGAACATTTACACATTATAAACTAGGAACTACAGAGATGTGGACTCAATTCCAAGTTGGAGCCATCACTGTAAGCCTACAATGCAACAGAACACTACTGCTTCTCAATTCAAGAGGTATTGATGTGTGAGCATGTAACAGAGAAGTGAGACCACAAAATCACCCAATAGGCTACAATGTCTACTGTCAGAAGACCTACTTGACACATACCACAGTAAAATCCTCACTCTGCATCCAGTGTGGTAACTGAGTAGCTTGACTTAGTGCCTGGAACAGAGTCGCTCTGAGAGCACAGTAGTTGTCACCTCGTACCTGCCTTATGGATGCAAACTTCTGTGCAACTGCTTCATATCCCTAGGAAAATAAAAAATCCAAATAACACAGAAGCATTAATAAATCGTTTCAAAGGAGTGAGATGTTTCAAGGCACCAGTATCATAAAGGAATTGGAACATCAGCATCTAATGATAAAGCTCTCTCAAAAACAAAGAAAGGTTTGATCAAATGATTTGGAAGCATGTATGACTTTATGTCATGAATTTTGCCTTACAAAAACAAAACTTCCGTAGTTCTGCTAAATAACAAACAAGAAACCAATGATACTGAAGTAGGTAAATGTCTGTGACTGTCTGACTACACAACAGAAATATCTTTGGAATGTAGGCAGCCAGCACATTTAGGTTTGAAACAAAACACAAACACACCTAAAAGTACAGCATGATTACAACAAGAAGTTCTAGCAATAGTTTATGCCATTTACCCAATACTTGTCACATGCAGCTTATTTATGTCTCAGGGGAAATTTTGCATTTAAACAGAAGTTTCTGATGTCTCATCACATTTGTCTCCTCTTTGCTGTTCCCATACAAACACTTGTAACAGAAGAAGCAATGCTGAATTGAGCTTCTGAAGCTTAGTATATTTATTCAGCTCGTCTAACAAGATGTTTGTGCATACCACTATTTTTTTTCTCCAACACAATTTAAAATAAAGAACACCCAAACCAATCTCTACTTCACTTTCTACTGCTATCACTCAAGATTAATATAAGAAAACTTGTCAAAAAACTTACAGAAAATAAGTATCAGGAAAAAAAAATTAAAAGCAAAACAAAACTGATCCTATCCAACAAAGCTCTCCATCTTAAAAATCAAGTGATTCACCTACTTCAGTTAACTTCCTTCTAAAAAACAAAAGCAAAAAAAATAAAAGTTTGGCCACCTGGTCTGCCATTTCAATAGCCCTTAAGGTTACTATTTTATGGAAATAAATCGAATTTAAATTGAAAACAGTCACAAAGAAGAGCAATAAACAAAAATCCTAGCCTGTCACAAGTAGCCTTACTGAACATACATTCTTAATAAGTATGAGCAAAACTATCATGCAGCTACCAGCCACTTTGAAGACACGACACTGAAAAATATTGCTATTACCTTTCCTGTTTTAAAGATCTTTTGTGTAGAAAGCCACTTATGAAACACAGAAATAAAAAGCCCAGTGAAGTCAGAAAGTAGAAAATATACCTTTCTCATCCTTTTTGCTACTGGTGTATTTCCTCTCCATTCTTTTTCACAATACTCCAGGATATCCATTTCAGGCGCAACACTTAATTTATATTCTGTCAATACAGAATTTGCAAATTACACTGACAAAAAACAGGAAACAGAACATACAACAGCATAGAAAAAAAACATTTTAACTTGCACTTCTAAACACATGCTATCACATTAAAGTCACTTTGGTGCCAAAAGAGACTGGCTGTACAACAACAGAGCTGCTACAGAGCTATTGGTGGGGAAGGAACTACATGCTTCAAAAATGGCAAACGAACAAAAATATACAATTAATTGTAATACCATTTTTGAAATACCACAAAGTTCAAACATACCTGAAGAGCTTGTCTTGCAAGTGTGTAGCATCTTCTCTCTCTTCTGCTTCACAACAAATGTCCTCCTCACTACACTGCACATTATGGAACAGTACAAATAATTGTCATTAATCTTTTCAGCTGTTTGATTTGATTTCCATCTTACACATTTTCATTAAACACTTCACTATGACACCCATGTTAGTAATGAAGCTGCCTGGACTTCTGCCAGCAGTATGGGGTCTACAGAGCACTAAAGTCTCTTTGTAATTTTGAAAGGACAGATTTGTGAAAGATAAAAGCCACAATGCTCTGTCTTATATACATAAATACTATATCTGTGCACACAACTAAAAACACGTTACTCACCAAAGCTTTAAGTCTATATTCTACTGGTGTTGAGCAACAACCAGTGATCTCACTCATCTCATACGACTGAAAGAGGACAGGCAGTTACGGAAACTGCAAGGCAGGGTTCTGTGCAGCCAGGTGGTAATTAAATTACACTCATCTACATCCAAATCTGCTTTCTTAAGAAGAAATAAGAAGTAACATTGCTAACCCATTTGCATATATTTCCCTTGAGAACAAGAAAAATCATAGAATCATAAAATCACCAAGGTTGAAAGAGACTTCCAAGATCATCCAGTCCAATCATCCATCTACCACCAGTATTCCCACTAAACCGTGTCCCTCAGTACAACATCAAACCATTTCTTGAACTCCAGGGATGGTGACCCCACAACCTCCCTGGGCAGCCCAGTCCAGCACTTGACCAAAAAAGTTTAATATAAAGTCAATGACAGGCTAATACAAGGAAACTGTCATCTGTAGTGAAGTCGTAGGAAACCACAGTTTAGTAGTTACTCAAGTTTCAAGCAGATGCTTGAGATTCAATTTCTAACAATACTAAAGTATGAATTAAAGAGAGAAACAACGTGGTAAATACTAAACACAGTTCCCCATAAGAGAATACAGCCTGCTGAAATGTTTCAGAGAAGCATATCCCAAGTCCTTACCCTAATTACTGGGGCATTGGACAAATCTTAATTTCCACACCTGATCTTATTTCACACCAGAAACTAAGATACATCAGAGTTTGTGAAGAATTTCAAGAATATCTACCTTGAAGAATATATACCTTGAAAACACTGTGATAAAATAAGAACTTGGTACCTAACAACAAGAGTGACTTCTAGCATAGTTTATACATATTGAAAGCACCTCTTTCCAAAAGAAAAAGTTTCTCTATAAAAAAAATAAATCCTTACCTGTCCACAGGTGTCTCCATTGCTGAAGGATTATCAGACACAGACAAATATATTTCACAATCTCTAGGATCATCATCATGTGTCACAAGTGATTTAATCCTATTTCTCCCCTCAGGTCCCCCAATACTTCTGTATAGATTTTCTTCTCTCATTTCCTCTGCAGGTTGCTCTTTCTGCTCAGTGACTGTGTCTGCTGAGCCCAGCTCATTAGAAGGAACACCAGCTTCCTTTTCATGCTTCATCACTTGCATTGCAATCCTTGCTTTCTTCTGTGTCTGTGCTGCACCCGCAGGAAGGCCGTGCGGTTCTCTCATCTGCTCCTGAAAGCTATCCTGGCTTTGAAGAATGCAGGAGTAGGTGACTCTGTGACTCTTTCACGGAAGAACAAAATCACATTTTTAGGGAAGGCACGGTATTTCAACAGCTGCCTTCTGGGCATTCAGAGGTTCCTTTAATTACCCAAAAGCAGGAACAAGCCCTAGAAGCACTTGCTGAGGTAACACAGCAGCCCAGCTGCTGTCAAACACTCCTTGGCAGGACAGCTTCAGCTCCCGCTCTGCCTGTGCGAGAACAGCTTTGGCTGCACACATGCTTCCCTCGGGGATGCTATCAGCTACAAACCCGAGATCCGCCAGAAACCCCAATGAAGCAAGTGTCGGCTTTTCTACAGACTCACGCGGTGTTCAGTGAAACTGCTCTCCCTCCCCCTCTCCTTCCCATCCAGGCCGGGCCGGGCGCTCGGTGTCACATGGAATGGAAGGATAAATGACAATACCCCAGCGCACCGGCAGGGAGCATGTTTGGGTACGTAGAACCAATGGGAAACGATGACAATGATTTTGCTTGTGAACGTGAATGTGTGGGTGCAAACTGACATCAGTATCACGCTGTGGATATGTAAAGGTGTGCTAGCTTTGTGGAACTACAAGCTAGCACCCCATCGTGGGCAAAATTAAATAGCTCTGTGTGTGAAGCTAGCTCACTGCAGAATGGATGGAAGAACCCATCTGTGGGACAGCAATGTCACATATCAGAAAGAGCCAGTCACCTGTGAGACCCCTGACAGCTTCAGCTCTGAAGCAAGTCTTTTCCTGCAACCAAGGGGATGAGGGAAAAAGAAATCACAGAACAGTTTGGGTTGGAAGGGACCACAAAGCCCACCTAGTCTCAACCCTGTGCTGTGCGCAGGGCTGCCACCCACCGGGACAGGCTGCCCAGCGCCCCATCCAACCTGTCCTTGAGCATCTCCAGGGATGGGACCTCAGCACTCCCTCAGTGAAAAATTTCCCCAACATCAAATCCAAATATCTCCTCTTTTCATTTAAGACTGTTCCCCTTTGTCCTCTCTCTATCTATACATGTAAATAGTTGATTTCCCTCCTGCTGACAGATTCTCTTTAAGTATTGGAAGGCCAAATGACGAACGTTATACGCTAGTCACAGGCTTCAGGTACTGGTAGGAGTGGAATAAAACATTAATGAGCAAGAGTTTTCTGCTCCAGAAATAATACTCCTCATGAATCACGTACCTTTGTTAAACTCCAAACAGGAATACCTCTACAGAGGTATAATGCTCTTTACAGAGAGCAAATTATAGACCTTTCAAAATTGCGTGTTACTCAGACCTATGTATACTGAATAATATTAAAAACAAGAGAACAATAAAGAGTAAGAAAAGCATATTCTTGTAGAGCTTAATGTGAGTGTTTTGGAAGGACTTAAGCTTTAAATCAGGCCTAAAAACATGACAAAAAAATTATTCATCTTCTTTGAACAGTTAATTTTCCCTCATAAGGGAAATTAAACTCTCTCTAAATAATACAAGGAATGCTTAGGCAGGAAAAAATAACTTCAGACATTCTGATGGGAAAACAGTTTGAAGTAGGATTCTTTTAAAAAGTCAGTCAGATTAGCAAACAGTATAGGAAGAATGTTTTATGGTAAGGTCAGGTAGTAAGCCCTAAGAAAGACAAAATGACAGTGATAAGTGATCTCCAATGTTACACATTTTTAAGTTAAATAAATTGGTGGGCATCCCTGTAACCATTATTTTTTCTCTCTTTCTTTTATTCTTGAGACACAAAGAAGTACCATGAACATTTGAGGAGGGAAAGGGAAACATGACTTTAATATTTTTGTATTACAGCTTTTTTCCTGAATTAAATCAGTGCTGGTTTGCTCTTCACAATATCTCCTTTGAAAAACATCTTTCATTCAACTGCTTGTCTCAAAATATGTTATTTCAGATTGGCCATTTCAGAATTATTCCTCTTCCAAGCACACAGCTTCCTCCAGTGTTTTCCATTTTGCACTGACATTTGAAAAGTATGTTAGTCATAATTACTTTAATCTAGAGCTTGAGTCATACATAATTTCTTATGTGCATAGATAAAGCTGTGTTTTCCAGCAGAAGAGATATCTTTTGCAAAGTCTTCAGGACAGAGATACCATCTTGCTTTTTGTTATTGACAACTGATAAATACGTGTCTACAAATTACAAAAATATTGAAATTGCAGATGCTAAGAATCTCCACGGGATTCTGTTGAATTTCTGAAGCTAGTTAGAAGAGCTAATGCTGTTATATTTGGAAAATACATATATATATTAAGATCAAGCATGATAAATGAATCTATGAAAAAAAAAAAAAAAAGGAGCAGCTATTTACTTTTGTTGACAATATCAAAAGTAATTATGTTACTCTTCAAGTTTCGTTTCCTTGGTTGATTGATTGTTTTTTAGAGTGAGGCTTGAGCAAAATTTAGATGTATAAGGCCAAGATCTTTGGGCTCCCAAACCACTTATAACTCATTGTATTTTCAGACCTCCATCTGCAAAGTAGGTAGACAACTAAACCTCATCAAAATTTATAATAAAAGCAAAAGCTTTGTCTACTTTCCTGTCTTTATGTATGAATAGCTTAGAATATTGCACTCATAAATCCAACTCTTTCGTTACCATAACTCAAAGGGGAACGCCATGTAGCTCCTATGCTACATGAGATCTGTTTTTTTTTGTTGTTGTTTAATGAGAGTGGTAAGATTTGGCATCTTGGCTGAAAATGAGATTGAGATCTAAGTTTTCAACCCCAAAATATCAAAGTAAGAATATAAGTCTCCGGTAACAATTTTGAAATACAGGGGACAATAATTCAGCTTTGTCATTACTAGGAAGAATATTTATCCCAACATATATTAAAAAAAACCACAAAAACTCATGTGAACTGCAAAAAATAACTTAGTGGATACCAAGCTGAAGAAAATATACTAGTTTAACACACTTTTTCCCAAAGTGTTTATAATCTTTATGTTTTCCCCAGGCTCAGATAGTAAAGGGGTTACAAAGCACGCAGTGAAATAGCAGTGGAAGATCATATTTTGGGACTCTGACTTCCTCAACTGTGACAGAGTTCTACATTAAAAATAAAAAAGATGGGAAATAGAGACATGAAGAAACCAGTGGTACTAAATGCAAAACTCTAGCAGTTTCATGAGACAACAATTTAAGAAATGTGAACATCTGGCTTCCTCCATCTTCTCCACTCCTAGCATCAGATACGTGTTTCCTTTACTGTTTGAATTTTCTTTGTGCTTGTGCAGCACAAATGCTGAGTCATGGCCTGAACCAGTGATTGAGCACCTGGTGGGAAGGCAGGACCAGCTCAGGGGAGCTCAGCTGCATGCAGTGTACCTGAGTGACTGTAAGAGGTGGAGCCAGGATCCACCCCTTCCCAGACCTCATTTAAGGGTCGGCAGTGGAGTTGACAGTATCTTGTTGGAGATCCCTGTATATGTGATGCCTTTTAAAGGTAAGCTAAACCTTTTTCCTTCTTTTCTCTGTCCATGGTCTCTCTGTTTAGACTTATTCTTGCTTGCTGCAGCTTAGACATTGTTATCCTGTGTTATCCTGCTATCATTGCTGTGGTTTCCATCACATTATAGCTTGCAAAGGAAGTTCAGAATTGAAGTTTGTACTCATTTTCTTACATTAATTCTGCCAAATGCATGTGTGCATTTATTATATGATAAAACCAAATAGGTTGTCTTGTCTTCAGATAGTAGGGAAGAAAAAAGGAGGATTTTGTTTTTGTAAATTACTGTGGCTGTTTCTGCTAAGACTGACTTCCTGTTTACATAAAATTAAATAAATCATTGTTTACTGACAAATTTCTGAAGCCACCTGAACCGAGTTGTGAAGTACCCTATGAGCTGGGATATGTAATAAACAGAAGTATGTGGGCAGTGCAGCAGTTTCTGGTCTGTGACTGCAGGCTATTTTTTTTCAAGCAGAAACTTCTGCTAGTGGCATCAGTTAAACACACGTTTCGGGTGAGAATGCAGATAGCACAGTCACTGACTTCTTAGAGCTGATGTGACCTTCTCTCTGGGAAAGTAGGCTGTGGATCTGCCTGAGGACCTGGGCGTAATGGGGGAGGGTAGAAGTCAAAGAGTGAGAAACAAACCCACCATCTGGAATGGTGATCAGGATGAAGTCAAGGGGTGAATTGTAATGTTCTGCCTAGGGAATCTGATGTGTCTGTATCTGTTGTATTTGTTTGATAATGTGAGTGTGCAGATGACCCTTTCTCACAAAGGAGCAGTGAAGGACTCTCATCAACTGTACTGATGGCAAACTTGATTTTGGATGTAACAAGAGGGTAACAAGCGGATGCCTTTTTGTAGCCAAATCTGCTTTGTGTTATAGTGTGCTATTAAGATTAGGAGAAGTAGCATCAAGTTGGGTTACTGAAATAAAACATCACAAAGAAATCTCAGAGTATGTAACCTTAAGCGGAGGACTTTGTTAGTACCAAAAATCAAGAAATTATACAGCTTTTACTATAGTAGTCAAATTCATGGCCCCTTTTATTCTTTCTGGGGGTGGGGGGGGGAGGGAAAAGCTCAATTTTACTTATGGATTTTTTTCTAGTTCACAAATCAAATGAACTAGATTCATTATTTGAAATAAATCTGTCTCAGCTGATGTCCTTAAGTCTACCTAATGAACACGCATGTGGAGTTGCATAGATGTGGCTGCCCTTATAAATACCTAATGGAAACAGTGGGTATATCTACACCTGTTCTACAACTACTCTCCAGCTGACGATCTCCCCAGCCTTGCACTTGATGATGCTAGCTCCTATTGTTTTGGCTTTCACTCCCTGACAGGACGGACATAGCTGTCCCTTTCTGGCTAGAGCTTGCACCATCCTTCCCCAGCAAGGAAAATCAGAGCCACTGAAGTCCATGTTCCTTACCCCTCTGTTAGAACTAGCTCCAAGGATGGCACAAAGCTACTTCTGAGCAGAATGCAGCTGGCAGCACACACCTGGCTTCCTCTAAGAAGCAGGTTCTAAGTCTTAGCTACAGAATAAAGTCATTACTATGGTATTGTTCTTAAATCTTCTCAGTGCATATGGAAAACTTCCAGTTAAAAATTAATTTCATTAAAGATGGGATGAACTGATCATTAAGATATACTAAACTAAAATGAGGATCCCTAACGTAGGGAGTTTTTTGGAGTTTTTCTTGATATGATTAAGCAGCTCACCTCCTTGTACATAGAGGACAGATGAGGAATAGTGCAGGAAGAGGTGAAGTCTGAACACAGGGAATCACACTTTAAAGTAGGCAATAGTGACATTGACAACCAAAGGCAGCTGATAAGACAAAATGGACACTGGTAGAATGGGCGGCAGGAGGTAGGGGGGGGTAAGAACAGAGTAGGAGCTCTTGTTGCTGAATTATGTCCAAACCATCTCCACAGTATTAGCAGTGCTGGAAAGAGAAAGGAAGGAAAATAAGACACATTTGGTGTTCAGCATTATTGAAAGAGACAAGAGACCTAACAGGAAAATTGGTGAAGAAAAATTGAATATTTTGCCTCATGTGCCTTTACATACCTCTTAATAGCTTGTCATTTCTCCGAGACTCTGACAGATTTAACTTTATTCTTTAAAATTTTTTGAGGATATAGATCTCTTTACTGGAGATGCCATGTGCATTTAGTTGATAAATAACCCAGCAGTGTTGTAAAAAGGCATTTACGTTTATCTAATCTCTCTGAAGTACCTTCCTTTATTTGTACATGTAGTGAAGCAGCTACTACAGTTGTAAGAAAACTCAAAAATACAGTCAATTTCTTCCTTGATAGTAGAATAGTTTTCTTTTAAAAGATGATTTAACAAACTGTAGCAACTAGCTGATAGCTTTGGTTTATTTGCACCTATCTCCCACCTGGATTAATAACATCTACTTTCACATTTCCTAGTCAAGCCAGCTAAGTAGTTTTGCATCACATTCAAACAGAAAGTGTATAATTCTCACATTACTGAGTATGAAAAGGAAGTTGTTTTTTTTTTTTTTTTTAAAGCTTGTTTTTCCTATGCTTTTGCTTCTGAGTGGTCTTTCAGCTGCTTCCTTTATTTTGACCCAGAATCAATCCAATGTGAAGCTGAGTTCTGTATTTTGTTCACTGTCACCCTGATACAGGTCAGAGTAATTGTCCTTGGTAGAATGGTTCACCCCACTAATTCCTGAGAGTAAAGCAGCAGGGAAAGCTGTGAAGCCAACCTGTATGAGCCACCTAGCAGCAGGTGTCAGACACATATGTATTTATAATATATATACACATATATATTATTTATATTTGAATGAAAAGGAGTGAACAAAGCAAAACTATTGCTAAACAGCATGGCTTCTGACAAAGTTTTCTGCAGCATGAGAACCTGCTAGAAGCTGAACTTTGTGACTACTGCTCAATGCCATTTGGTTTTCTACCTTTCAAAGAACCAACATGCTTTTTTAAAGCTCCACAGCTCCATTTCCATTTTCCATTAGGAAAGTGGAGAGGACTACCATAGAGGACAGGTGACATCACATGGAGAATTTTTGCCCTGGATTAAATGGCCTCAAAGGCTGCTTATGTCCACACCCCTTTTCTGGCCATGTCATTTTGCTGCTGCAGTGGGATGCAGTGCCAACTGCTTCTTGCACCCAAAACGTGCTCAGTTGAAGCAGAACCCACACGTATTGCACATTACACTGGTGCCAATTGATGAGTAAAACAATGACTACCATTCATAATATTTCAATCCACTTATATGTGTGCAAACACATTTTTTTGATCAATGTCAAATATGCCACTAGTCCTTTTGGTGGTGTTCTCTCCTCGTTTTAATACACATTAACAATGTTGTTATATACATTACCTATATTATATATTTGATCTGTGGCCCAGGCAAGCCAAAAGGTTGGACATGTTGTAAGGAATACCTCAATTCCAAATAGCTGTGGCTGCTGCCTTCTGCACTTCTGCTCACAGCAGATGAGAAGGACTTTTACCTTGTTGAGCATGCTCAACATTTAAACTCCTACTTTTCTCCTAACATTTAAACTCCTACTTTTCTCCTTACTTATATAATAAAAGTATAATCAAAACTAATCTGGAACATTCAGCAACATTACTCTGAGTATACCTTTGGTGACACTGAAGACAGGCCTTTGGCTCAATTTGATCTGCTGTACTCTGGAATAGACGGGCTTTTCACAGCTAATTTAAACAAGAGCTTGTGGTTTCATTAATGTCTCAAAGTTTTGACAGTAGCTATTGTTGTTTGGCTGTATATCCTTGCTGCTGTACTGTAAATGATGGCTATGTGTGCACACATGCCTTGTGGAGGAGATAAAGTCTTTTATGTTTGCACAGCTCAGGAGAATGTTCACAGCAGAGAAGTCTTCTGCTTCAAAAGGGTGGCTGAGAGATGCATAGCAGGCATGATTTACTGGTGTGCCATGGGTTAGGCAGCAGGATAAGACCTGCAAGTATACTTGACCTGAATACTACACTGGGAAACTTTCCCATCTCCTTTAATCGGCAGGCAGCTCACACACAGGAGGTAGCTAAGGATTTGCTGAACTTCTCTCAGCCACTTCTCTTCCACACCCTCCTTCTTACACTGCTACCAACCTGTGTCTTCATCACCATTAACATGTCACTTCCCATGTATCTCCTGCAGTAAGTCCAAAATCACTCTTCAATCTCTATGCTACCACAGTCTCAAAAATGGTGTTTGGGGGAAAAAAATATTAGGGAAATACTTTAATTTTTATTTTTTTAAATTAAACACAACAAAGCTTGTTTTGGTTGACCCTGAAATTTCATGTTGATGACCTAATTGTTTCACAAACTTTACATAGATTCTGAATCACCCTGACCTGAGCTTATTGTTTATGTACCTCTCAACCATTTCACAACTCCAGGGTTTGGACTTATGATATATGTTCATTTATTCCAATTATCACTAGATAAGACAAAAGCTACATGCAACATGTTATACAAAAAGGAGCTGAAACACCAGTACACTGCACTGAGGGGTTTTCATACTAAAATCTCATTTCTATAAATTACAAAATTATAAGAAAGGATAGTAAGCTTAAAAAGTCAGCCCTTCCACAGTTCAAGAGCAGAAAGGCAGTAGTCAAAAATTCACAGGTTAGAAAGATAAGAGCAATGACACCAGCAGAGCTCTCTAGCACGTGTTCAGGTTTCTGGATTCCTGCTGCAAACTTTGTCTGTTACCACTGTTCTGAAATGATGCTGCAGCACCTGTCTTTTCCCCAGTACTAGATTGTTCTAGCGCAGCTTATTCAGGATGTTTTGTTTTTTAACTCTTATATATGGATATGTATATTTTACACATACATGTGTGTTCCTTTACACAAATATGTTTTGTACATAGCTGTATTATCAGAAAACCTGTTTACAATCAGTGCAGCTCCAAACCTGTCTCAGTGTTGCTTAAGATCCTGTGTGGAGCACTCAGAATTCATGTCTTCATGTCGTCCTCACTTCTTCAAACTTCTGAAGTTTCTCCTTCTTTACAGTCAGTGACAAGAACCACACCCTTGTAGAAACTCCTCTAATTAACTGCCATTAACTCCTCCACCATTGCCCTTCACTGACCAGGCAGAGATCTAAACCAGACGTAAACATGTGCTCATCTTATTTTAGTGATAAATGGCACTGCTATATCTTTTTTCATTTATCTTTATTAATTTCCTTCTATCAGTATGCTCAAGATTACGAAGAGCATACATTTTATCAATGTAACACTTCCAGATGTTATGCTTTTGCGTTGCTATTCATAAATAATACACAAACCATTAAAAAGCTCTCTATAAAAATACATCATTTTCTGGTATGCCTGCTTGTACCAAAACAAGAATAAAATATAGGCAACTTTATTGACAAGTGCAAGTGTTGCATATACCACTGATGCAAAACAGACAATACCCAATGCAAGGCATTACAGCATTTCCCTACGTGGAACAGGATCAAAACTAAAGAGGGAAAATTACTTCATCCAGTGAATAAAGTTTGTGAGTTTGTTTTTAAAATAAATATTCAACATGTAGACTTTGAAAAGATTAAATTATTATATGTATCAAGTCTTTTGCGTTAATAGCTACAGATTATTGAACAAAACTGAACCCAGAGAAACTGCCAAGAAATGAACTTGCTATATAATACAGCATGCAGGTGTTTGTGTTTATAAATTATATATACATAAAAATAGAAAGACTAAAAGGATGAAATTGTTTTCCATTACACAGAGGAAGTGAGCAGTTTTTATGCTCTCCAACATTATCATTTAGTTACTACACACAACTGCTTTAGCTCCTATAGGCCCAGCTCATGCTTTTGTTCCTTGTCCTGCAGCAGTTAAAACCAAACCTGCCTCCTTCTGTACTTCTAGGATAAAACAAGGAAAGCCTTTGTTTCTTAATAAAACTCCACTTTTAAAATATAACCCATGCCTGTGGGATTGTATGCTTTTCACTTGCAAGATCTGCTGTATCATTTTAGCATTTGTTCAATTTAGGACCTCTCGTTTTAGAAATTATCTAAACACAATCGAGTCTTTTAGAAACTAGAACCAGGCAAAGCATAGCATATAATAAAGCAAATCTCATTTAGTTGTTCCAGACAGACTTCTTCAAACATCAACGTCTTAACTTTCCTCAGTTATAAAGTAGATCTAACACTGATCAGCCTGATTTCAAGAGTCTGAAGTAGCTGTGGTCTGCAGCTGCTTGCTTTCTTTCTGGAGGGAGGCACTGCAACACCAGGAGAAACTGGATGGGATTTGAACTGAGTTGTGTAGTGGCCTCAGTTTACATACTTGCATGCAAGATAGCCTCAAATCCTTGTAACTTTAGTGTCCCAGAGTAAAAACTGTGGGACCCCAAGAGTTGTTTCCTGCATAGTTCATTCATTCTAACTCAAGAAATAGAAGAGAAAGGCAGGAATTACTTTAGGACTTAAGTTTAACCCACGCAGATATGTTAGAGTAAGCCATTAGCCTAGGAGTGGAAAACCAGCATTACTTTTCCCTTTGTCTTGCTGTTTGATCTTTTATTTTCAATAACCCTTAGATATGACATTTTCCCCCAAACAGCATAGCAATATATTTTGCTATTTATGGCTGACTGGAACTAATTGAGCTGTAATGGGAAAGCAAAGCATTTACACAATAAACCCATAAATCATTTTGTAATCATCAACATGCATTTCTGCTGCCAGTTAGAAACCTAATTCACTGGAACTGGTTACTCACTATGTTATACAAAGGTTAAAAAGAAGTTCTTTGTGCTTCACGTTCTGATAACTGGGATGTGATAGTAGTGGTCATCCTCAGTCAGGAGAGAAATCTCATTCCATTCCCTTCGGTATTCATCTGGACAGTTTACTTGAAATTCTTCAGTATTAAATTTATGCAGTCTGTAAACTTTGATCTTTACTTGAAGCAGGTATCCAAGAAGGAACAGTTCAACCTGAAAATGAAAGAGGTCATAAGACATTTATTTCCAGTCTTAGAAAACAAAAATGAAGACAAGGATAAGTCTCTTATCTTACTTCAAAACAGTAGACAAAGAATTGCAAAGGTTTTTTTGTAACAAAATCAAGAGTTTCAGGATATTCTCAATGTCCCAGTCATCTTCCTGCCACTCTTTTTCATATTGAGGATATTCTGGGTAATACTTGCAGCTTTGGAAACATCCCTCTTTCACTTGACTCCACACATAATCTGCTCCCACACTCAGCTCACCCAGCTTACCGGGGTGCAATGAGGAACTAATGTTTAATAGATTAATACCTTGAAAAATGGGAAGCCTGCCACCTTCTGATCGCTTGCTGCAATGGGGATGCAACAGTAAAAGGAAGCACTTCATGCATTTTAAGCCTGAGAACTGGTTCTTCATTAACATGTCTTGCAAAGGATTGTTTAAACTGGAAAAATGCTTTGGAAAAGTAACTCGTATCCTTGGGCACAGCCAGACAGATCAAAACAAAGGTGAACACATCATCTATTGATTGACTTTGTAACTGAAATAGATTATGAAAAATGATTTTGCCTATTGGAAAGACTACGTCTATTGATACCTCACAGCATTTACTTCCAGCCCAGCAAAAGAACTGTCTGCACTATTTTATTCTGCTATTTCTTTTTTTTCCTGGAAGTCATCAGTTTACTTCCCTATATCTCAAAGAAAAAAAAAAAATGGGCCAAGTATCTCACAAACGATGTACAGTACATTCCCCCAGTCACATCAGAGATGGAATTACTTCTGTGATTTAGTTTTTCATTTGTATCATTACCTGGTCTAGGCAAATGGAGTCACCTATGGCATTCAGATGATTCATCATGAAACTCAAAGGGTCAGATGAAGTATCCCGAGCAAAGAGGAGGCGAAAAAGGTGGGGTACAGGTTCATCCCTGTTCTTCATTTGCTCGTAGGCTTCAACAACTTCGTAGAGCATGATAAATTTTATAGCCTCATATAGCTTGTGTTCCTTGCTCTCGTCAGAAAAGAGTGCATTACACATGTTTCTTCTTTCTTCGTGATCTTTAGTACCACTCATTTCAGCCCACTAGAAAGCACACAGAAGAATGCTAGTCAACTTATTAACAATTTAGATGAATAACCAACTCATTAAGAATTCTACCTAACACGAAAGACATCAAAATAGGAGCAATTGCCACTTCATACTGCACTGTTCTGTGGCCAAACGTAACTGCAGATTAGCCAGTGGTTTCGAGTGATTTGCAGTAAAATGTTAAGTCTTAGACACTTCGTTTTCCATTTATCTACCTGAATTTATTTGCTACAGGCTGCTCAAGGCACCTGGATACTTATTATAGGCTGTGAGAAAGCAAATGCAATTCCTCTATAAAAAGCCATCCACCACTACAACAGAAAATCCAGCTATGACTGACAGTAAAATGTGCAACCACCAAAAGCACCTCAAAGTCATCAGGAAATCAGCATAGGTACATCAAATATACACTATGCTATAAGCAAAGGTTAGATTAAGTGATGACTCCTGACTTGTTTTTAACTTACAGCATCCAAAATTCAGTAATTTTCCTCAAAGGAACCCTTTGTGGTAGAAGCTAGGCTTGCTTAAATTCCTTAGATGCTAAGTCTAATATAGAAGTAGATCAGTTAAAGGGAACTTATGTAAATTGGACATGATATTATGAACTGTATGTATTTGTATGTCTTTAGTGTGTTCTGATTATGAGGTCAAGCTAAGTTTGTTGGCCAAGAATGGACAAGACAAAGACACACGCAGGACAACAGCAAATAGAAATTTCTTGTTCTGCTCAGCTTATAATCGAAACTCCTCAGCTCTGTGTTGCTCTAGAGAGGTTGAAAGCTGGAGCTCATACTAAGCAAATGAATCAGCCAGGAGATGAACAACATTGGATTAGATACCAAATGAGAAAGATTAAGACATCCAGTCCTGATCACGGTGGATAGAAACAGTCTTCTGAAAGCAAGAAGTTTTTCAGGACCACAATAAGAGATGATGCTCAGGGACTAAGATTCAAATCAGTTGCAGTTAATTCTGTGATTGTATTTATGTGCTGAAACTGCCAAACACCAAGAACTGTAACTCAAAAAGTCTAATTTACTTTACTAATTGAGAAACAGATGCTGCAATCTCCTCACGCATACTGAAGACCATTCTTACAGATGAAAAACAAAACCGAGTGGATGAAGCATTACTAATTACCCCTCTGCTAGAGTACTTCTACTACCAATGTGAAAAGTCTAGAGTACAAATTGCTGACTGACCTACACAACCTAGGCCCAAAGACATCTGCAGAAAAGAGCCCTGAGGATGAGGATGGAACTGGGAAAGGCAGCAGAGTTGGCTGCCTCCTGCTTAGCAAACTGGCAGGCACTCTGCTGCACCTTGCTCACTTGAGGCAAGTCAGGCATGACGAGGCTCAGTCTCATGAGTCTGGGGTATGTAGCAAGCCTCTTGCAAAAGCATGCTAGTGTATAGCTAACATTCTTCAAAAGCCTCAAAATACTAGTGCCCACTTTCATCTTCAAGTCATAGTTATAGTAGAATTGCATCTATAAGCTTTAGGTACTAAAAAATATTTACTGAATTTGGCTATTCCAGTTTGAAGAAATTACATAAGGTTTCTCACTGTACTTGCAGAGCAGTGAAGCAAGTAAGCAGTTAAATACAAGAGGAACCCAATTCCCAGTGCTGACTCTCTTCACACTACTAAATAAACCTTAAAAAAAAGCATTCATGAAAATAGGCACAAGTCCACCTCACTGGCCAAACAGCATCTTTTTAACAACAGAATAAAGCTAGGAATTAGACCTCATAGAATCACAGAACCATAGAATTGCTCGGGTTGGAAAAGGCCTTCAAGATCATCAAGTCCATACCCTAACTCATGTTCAGCAACAGCATAATGCATAAAGAAGCTGCTCTGCAACAATTAGTCAACTGTATGGATTTGCTTACCATGCTGCCTTGAAACTTCTTTCTGTACAAACATCCAGTTTGAATGCATCATCCTAAGGGACTAATATCAAGTGACAAGGAAAAGAAGATAAAAACTAAAAGCCAAACAACCCAACACTGACAAATACAGAGCAAGCAGGATAAAATGATATTTGCCCAACAGAAGCAGTTGCGATGCTGGGAAGGAGAGAGGTGGCATGCTGGGGATAGCTTGTGGCAAACAGAATGGAAGCAGTTCCAAGCTCACACAATGACAGACCAGCAGACATCCTAGAGGAGCTCAAGCAAAAATGCAGGTTCCTGCCAGTCTGAATTTTCATCTTTTTTCCAAGAAACCTTAATGCTACTAAACTCCCAGAGTGTTCAGATGCATAAATAAAATTAAACTCCTGGCTGGGAATACAAGCAATCTGGTTTTGCTGAACAGACAGGGCACTGAGGCTGTCAGATCTTTGCATTCAAGCACTTCAGCTCGCAGAGAGAAATTATTGGAAAAAAACTTAACAAAACATTAACTTAACAAAACATTAATTCCCTATTAAAATGGGGAAGAAAACAGAAGAAAATGCACCATTTGTTGGTTCCCTCCAGTTCTGGGAGGGCATCTAGGAGGATCTCATATAGCATGCAGTTATTTTCATTGAAATGATGAGATATTGTGGAAGATAAACACGCACTAACAGCTGTGGGGAGGGGGACCTCCCTAACTTGCAGGGAGATGAAGTACTTAACCTAGAACCCCAAACCTGAACTCCTCTGCAGAAGTGACAGCCTGCCCAGCAACTGAGTTCTCTAAATCCAGGAGGCAGTCAGACTGCCACAGAAATATGTAACAAGAGGATGATCCCTAACTCAGCCTCAACCCACTTAGAAGTGCTTTTATGTCAGCCAGCCACCTTCTAAATACTCACATTTGTCTTTAATGTTTCCATACATCTGCGTAATTTTCCAAAGGCATTAGGACCTGTGTAACTTTCTGGCCCAAAACTGTATTGCTGAATCCAGTTGCAACCTTGGGAATACAGAAGCTTTTCAGGAAGCTGGAAGGAAAGAAAGTCAATTAAGGAGAAATCATAACCACAAGAAATAGACTATAAAATTATGTAAACCTGCCTACCAAGATTGTAACCCATTTTAACTTATGATGTGATTCTATCTTCTGGTTGTATAGATCAAACAAAAAATAGAAATAGGCTTCAGAACACATCAAATGTTAAAAGGAAACTCAATTTGGCTGCCAAGTCCTTAAGAAACTTTTTAACTAGTGCCAGCCAGAAAAGAAGAAAATATGTTCTCAGCAAAATACACAACCCATACTCTGGAAAAGCTGGATGCATCCAAACTCAGTAAGGCTTCTAGAATTCCAGACACCTTCCAGCTGGCAGATGTGCCCCCACAGGCAGCAGTTACAGATCCCCTCCTCCTTGCTGCTGTCTCCTGACAAAGCTCCAGGGACTCCGGGCAGAACTCTGCTCCAGCAACATGCTGAGGTCACCTGCTTGATGCCTTCCTTCAGCTATGCTCTTGAACAAGCCACTGGATTTTGCAAGGGTGTGAATAAGGAGAAGTCAAACATCCTTTTGGGTTAAGGGACCAACATATAGCAGAGTGGCAGCAATGTTTATCTTGCTGCCTTTTTTTTTTTTCCTTTAAGCCTCATGTTCATTTGATTATGTTTGGATCAGAACTTTTTCAGTGAAGCACAGTTCCAATTGGTTTTAAAAAGTTCTCTTTAAATTCTGATAATAATTTTTCTCTACTCCCACTCATGCAATATCACTTCTCTTGTTTAACAAAGACAGCTGTCTGTTCTGTGAATTCCTTCTGCAGCGCAAAGGTACCTGGATCACATCCATTTAGGAACTGAATTTTACCTTTAATATATCTCTCTCCCTCATCCACGATGGAAAAGGAATGCCTTGGCTGAATATCTGAAAAAGCACTGCTCTTAGGACGCAATAGTTGTCCTTCCTGACCTGCCGCAGATATTTGATATGATAGTTCTGAAATAATTCACTGTATGCCTAAAAAAGAGCAAATAGAAATTTAGCAATAAGCAGTTAAAAACTTGGATCAAACTTGCATTAAACTGGAGTCTGACTCCAACTACTCGTAACAGAGAACTAGGGAAAAGAGGGAGTATATTTATAAGCTTTATATACACAAAAATGATTTAACATGTTTATGTAAACAAAACTGGTACTGCTCCTTAAGAAGGACTCTTTGCTCTTTCTAAACTTGGCTACTTGCTCCAGACTTTGCACTGTTGCTATCATAAACATTTGCAGGATCAACCAAATCAGAAAAGATCAGTAAGAATTTTGCCATAGCAGCTTTAACCCTCATCACTTCACAAGTTACACTGGCGCATGGGATGGAGCAGCAAGAGGGCAGGAAAAACACATCTGGAAAAAGCTCCTTTTAGCAGAAACATCATCTTATACCTGAATCTACTATGCAACAATGACCTAAGACTGAGGAAGAGTGGGGACAACTGCAGTCAATACCTTCTTGGCTGTGTAGTTTCCCTGACTCTTCCTTTGCATCAGCTATAAGTATAAGCCTACTGAATTCTTCCTGCTGTTTTGAGGAGTTCAGGAGGCTCAAAGGATTAGATGAATGTCAGGGCCAGCACAAGATGTGTCCTGGGAACGTGCCAGGAGCAGATGAGAGCAGGGAGTCAAGGCCTCTTCTTTCAGAATGACCAGATGTATCAGCAAACCACATCCAGCAGAACATATAAGAACCAACAAAGTGAGGAAAACGAAGCAATGAAACAAGCAAAGGACTTCCTTTTTGGTGACAGCAAGCAGATGAGGCTGGTTTAGGTTCTTGCGAGACCTCACTCTAAATTGCTGTGATGACCTCAACCCATTATAACCATCTATTCACTAGACTCCCTTGAGCCTCCTTTTCAGCTCTAATCATCCAACACACTGGAGGACCTTCTGAAAGACCCACTGATTGATACCTATTTGCAAATCTATTAGGGGTTGTGCTATCTTTAGTTAATTACTTGTTCCTCCAGATCACCTTCAGCCTTGCTATGTGTTCTGGGCACTTCTGGCATTGTTGTTTTTCTGCATTTAATCTGGAAAAGTTGGCTCTTTTCTCCATTTACCATTTGGACATGGCTCCAGGCTTTTGAAAGAGCTCTTCTTTTTTTTGAATAACTCCTTTACGGAGCTATTTATCCCTACCAGCTTTCTTCTACACTTTAAGTCCTTTGTACACGTTTGCTCTGTGACTCCACTGCCATGGCCTAAAACAATATGCCAAATACACTAACCATACTTAGTTTCTTAGCAGCCTTTTAGGTTCTTTTTAAAAGGCTTCCTCATTTTTATGCTCTCTCCTTTCTGAAGGTGAATGCAATTGTAATGATTCTTTTGATTTGTTGGTCTTGTAAGGATGTTGAATACAAGTACACACTGTCCCCTGCTCTACAGAAATGAAATTAGAAAACAGTATTTTGAGGCAGATTCTGTACACTACTCAGGTCTAAGGTAAGGGTTACTTCCTTTCTTAAAGGCTTCCTGGAAAACTTCCACAGTACAGCTGATGACAGCATCCTGAATTTCATCCCCATAGTTATTGTCCAGTGCAGATAGCCAGTCAATCTCATTACTGCTGCACTCCCTGCCCTCTCTCTCTCTCTTTCTCTCTCTCTCAGCATCACATGTTCAATGTTCCCACCATGCTTAGATAATCAGAAATACAGACTGGTGTTGCATTTGTCCCATATTAGTCTTAAATTTCACAGCAGGATACTAGGATGTAAAGTCACAGTCAATTAACTGGATTTGACACTAAACTTTAACAGATACTACTACTGTAGCACCAGGATAGCTACTTTAGCTAGAAATTGTATAGGAAAAGTAGAGATCCAGCCCCTGGTTTCTGAGACTCCCTTGGTCAGCTTCACATAGTTGAAACAGAGAGCTATAAAAAGAGATATCTGCTCTTCTTCATCACTTGAGGCCCAACCCCATCACAAGTTAGAATAATGGCCAGCACCTGTCAGGCCCTTCAGAGCACTATGCCATACCTGCCAAGTCTTCTGCTGCACTACCTCTCTCAGCAGCTACCAAGACACAACTGCTAACAGCCCTCTGCACATGCAATAACTTAGGTATTTGTGAGAACTTGCAGCTGCCCTTTCTGCCTGCTAGGGGTATAAGCACATGCACACAACATACACAACTGAAAAACACATAAGCAGACAGAAGGCAGCTATCTAACATTACTGAACCGTGAACTGAATAGATCCCCAGCTCAGGAGTTCAGCCATCCAGAACTGAAAGCCTGACAGATGTATGATTATTAAGATGATTGCAGCTGGCAGCTTAAAGATACAAGAAACATTGCCTACAACCAGGCTGTTTGGGCTGCAGCACTCAGGATGATATTTTTCCACTGTTGTAATGAAAGTCATCCAGAGCACTCAGAACTACTGCCTGGGTGGCTTGAACTACGGAGAAGAACTTAGAAAAGATGCAAGACTAAAATCTAATCTAGATTGCAACTGCAGTCTTAATGCATGGTAATGCTGTCTGTTTCTCATTTAAGCAGCAAACTCTGGGAGCTGCAGCAGCTGCTTGCACTGGAACTGCTCTTCTCAGGTAGTTCTCCCACATCCTCATGCAGAAATCAGTTCTTACCTCCCTCATGTGTTTGGCCTGCTTTGTTTCTTCTCTCCATTCTCTTGCACTATAAGCAAGAAGATCAACTTCTTCCAACACGCTGCGATTCTCTAAATCAAGATTAATTTGCAGATTAGTTACCTTCCACTGTTCTGCATTTAAAGGGCAGGGTGGGGATTAATGAACACAGAATGACAGCAAAAGATTACTTATGAGCTTTCTTTGAAGGTAGCTGCTCCACCTGAAATCCAAATGATAAAACAGGTATCAAAGAGAAGTTATCAAAGGAAAATATTTACCAAAATAAGCAACAGTATTGAAAATTAAAAGTCTGCAAACTACCATTTGAATTGAAACCTACCGTGTCAGTAGCTGTGCTAAAAAGCTGTACAGCCTTCTGCAATACCAAAAGACAGCAGCGAGGAAAGACATGCTTAGCATTAGCTGTAGCTTCACTTTTTGCCACACAAGACACAAGGATTGCTTGGTAGCTCTTGTCCAGGACTGCACCTCATGACTTCCTGAAATAGTGATAAAAAGAAAAATCTTTTCACTCTTTTGCAATACTTATTTGCACTTTTTTTTTCTTTTTTTCTTTTCTTTTTTTTTTTTTAAATCATCCAAGTGCAATACCACTGCAAATAAAACACACAACATGAAATGCAAAAGGAGCACTATACTTAGTGACTCACTTGATTTTTGAAGTGTCTGAGCTTTGGCTGTATGTCACTTATGTTTCCAAGCTTTTTGTCCACACAATGAAGGCTACATACAGTCAGTGGAGGTCTTCACAAGAAGACTAATATCAAAGCAACTGTCCAGTGACAACAAGAACTGCTGCAGGATACACTGGTCCATAGACCCATACAGCCATTACTTTGCCATTAAATCAAGGTTTTAAAGACAAGATGTTGTTGGGAGTTTAGTCTGCAAATGCACCATATAAGGTAATAGCTAACTATAAGATCATAGCTAACTATACACCATGTGAATGCTACAGGAAATAAAGGAATGTTCCTGGCTCAACTTGGACAAATTTAGGCTCAATTGAGACTCAGGAGAAATCTGCTCCTCAAGAGATTTGGTATAAAGCTCAGGAGATGATCAATGAAGGGACTGTGTTCTTCACAACCATAAGCCAGGACAAGCTTGCTTTGTTCTCCTGGTACTACTGGGAAGGTTAGAGATGGGTTTGGCAGTCTCCTACTAATCAGAAAATCTAAAACTGAGAGGCGTACAGAGGCTGAAGAGCTGATGACTGCAGTGTTTGCTCCCTAAGTGAGAAACGTATCCTCTGACTGAAATATGAGAATATGAAATTCCCAGAGTTTACAACCAACAGCTGCTCTATTAACTTCTTAATTGACTTACTACAAAATTTTTAAAATAACTTCATTTTTTTAAAAGGCATCTCCAGAGAAGATGAAAAGATCCCTCCCTAGAGAGTCCATGACAGGAGTAATTCATTCACCATAGATTTATGCCAGCTGAACTTTTGCCCCTTCTGACTCTAAAGGTTTTCCATGCCCTGTCAACAGCTATCCAGGCAGATCTGTGCATGGATTCAAACCTTGGTAACGAGATAAACAGCCATGCGTGCATTTTTATGAGCATTGTTGCATACATAGTAAGCACTGCTGATATTTAGTCTTTCCTGATATTCAGTTTGAAGAAGTTTTATTACAGGATGTCCTACGTAAGCTGTCTGGAAGCGAGACTCATAACTGGTCTCTCCCACGAACGAGGCAAGTTAATAGCTGTAAATGTAAGAGAGTTAATAAACTTTGAAGAGGTAAATAGGAGGAGTTTGGGGGTACTAGTTCCTCTTACACAAAATCTGTGCTGCTGTGAATGCCTGTCACGCAAGACAGACCAGTTACCTTCTGCTCATATGCTGCACTAACAGATGCTGAGCTGGCATGACCCAGGGTTACGCCAGCGCATGCTGAGTAGGAAAAGACACAACAAAGAAACCAAAATCAGAGGGAAGAGTTTGTTGCTGGTCCCAAGTAACAGACAGCAAAGCATCACCTGCACAGTTCAAAAATATCACAGATCTTGCGAACACTGGGACAATCCCACCTACATCACACTGCAGATGAAAAATCAATAGAAGCCTTCACAACAGTCACCTAAATTGCTACCAACAGAACAAAAATTAAGCATGAGTAGAAGACAGCACACCTGTTGTGCACAGCAATCTACTCTTTCTTTTCTTTAGAATAAAAAGTCAGCATTGAAAAACCTCTTTCAATTGTAAATACCTGAAACTCTTGCTAACTAGAACAGAATTTATAGGCTTACAAAGATCACTCAGCCTTCTCCATCAGTGGATGCTTTGGACTTGCACTCACTGTTGTACAAAAACCTCTGATTACTGGTTTGACTAGCAAACCAATGATGCCTGTGACAGGGAGACTTGAACTTGATGATCATTGATGTCCCTTCCAATCCAAGTCACTCTATGATAATTCAAACAGAATTTGTTAACAGCTGTTTAAACACAAGGCACCTAAAGAAAGGTACAATAACCTTCAATTTGATTACTTAAATGATCACACAGCTCCTTTTTTGAATAAACTGGTACTAAAAAAGAAGTGAGAACTGGTCTGTCTGTTCAACTGGCATATGTCATTTTATTGGGTACCAAGAGATGGATGCCAACAGCTGGACAGTACTCAACTTTTCTTCCTTAACTTCTTTTACAGGCAGAAATCTGGGAGAATTGCATTAGCATGAGCTCTTCTGTTAAATCAAACAACCTCTTGTAAAAGTTTTTGATGGCATTAATCTTGCAAAGAGAACACACTGAAGTCCAAGAAAATCCATTTCAATGCTCAGGGTGAGCAGGAACATGAGCAACTATTCTCCAAGGAGTGCTGGGAAGCACTGGCTTACCCATTTCAATTAAAAAAAAACATGAATTCATGTCAGAAAACAAGCAGTAATTAAATACTGTTCACACATTTTTACATTCTTTGTGGATTTGTAAGTAGAAATTTCCCTAACATAAAGCCTAATAAGAGATGGGAAACCCTACAGACATGTGATTTTGACTATCTTCACTACACTTTTATTACAGCGTACTCTGGACTTCATAAACTTCCCCTCCTGTCATGGGAAAGCTGCTGTACAAACAGCACTTTGTGATCCAGATACTACTTTCAGTGCTTATGTCACTCTTAAAAATGTAATTACATTTTTTATTCAAGTAAGTGACATTTAGAAGTGGCAGCTGGATCGCAAAGTACTGCTGATAAAAATACATCATGAACAAAATATGAATCAAAGAAGAGAGCAGTTTTAAATAGATTTCCTCCCCCCATCTGCCCCCTCCAAAATTCCTGAGAAAATGGAGAGCAATTAAATAATAACACACTGGTGGGGGAAGAGTAAAATAATCCCACAGATTTTTCAACTCAATTCATTCCCTAGGATACAGACACAATTCCTCCTCTTCCCTCTAGAGGCAGATACAGAGCTGCTGCCCCGCAACCCGACATCTTTTTGATGAGTGACTGCCACATCATCAACCTCCTGCTAGTGCCAAACCTTGAGGTTTTACCCTGCCAAAGACAGCAGGAGGGGACTCTGAAGAAAAAGAATGCCAGAAAAAGTGATAAATAACAGACATCTGCAACATACGCTTCTTTCACAAACAACTCTCCTAGCTCAAGAAAAGTCACTAAAAAAAAAAAAAAAGAAAAAAAAAAAAAAAAGAAAAAGCCCCATATCTGACCTTCTTATAAGTTTTTTTGAAGGCTACCATCTTCAAAACGTGTCTGATGAAACACAAGATGCATGGGATCAGCCTGGGGACCAGTACACACCACCTTATGCTGCGCTGGAGCACATTCCAGTGTGCCTATGCCTGATGGCACCAGTCAGCTTCTTACTCCTCCCCTTGTAACAAGGCCATCAGAAAGGTAACAGAGCATCTTCCAAAATTAAAAGCTGACCGTAAGACTCCTTTTAAAAATGTTCCTCTTCACAGTCCTGCTTTAAATTTGGTGTTGAAAGGAGGACTTAGTATGAAACTTGGCTACTTTGTACCAACAACTATCACACAACACTCTGTGCCTAGTTCCTAAAAAGCAGGTATGCCCTTCTCCAAAGAGTGGAACAGAATGGGTTCCCTAGTTCTATCCCGCCTTCTCACTTCTCTCTTGGATACAGAGCTAGGAAGAGAGACTGAGAATTCCTGACCTTAATAAATGCATAACTCACATACCTTGTATATCAGATCATTTTCCAACTTTCTTGAATCTCCATCTGAGGAACTTCAACTAACTGAGTACCTCAACCAACCCAAGCAAATTTTGGCACCAGGAGGCCCAAGCCTGTCTCGGCATTCTGTGTGTGCCTGTCTTTACTGCATGTAACATTTTTCTAAATTATGCAGAATAAGTTCCAGGGTATGTTATAAAATTGGCTAACTCCATCTAGTAAGAGAAAATGATCAAACTTACACTTTTAAAACAGGTGTCTGTTTTAAGTGATACACAGATGCGTATATACACATCAAAATAAGCAAAAAGCTATTAATTATACAGACTGAATAGCTACAGTAGATTCCATCCTGTAAGACAGTATAAAGAGAAATACGCATTTTAAGTAGTGCCAAGTAATTATACCCTTTCTTTGACTTCCCAGAGTTTAATATCAGCACCCTAGGGAAAAAAAAAAAAGAGAAGAGAAACTATCAAAACCAGAAATGATTGAGCACAAGGTACTGAATCAATCACTGCTTCCCATATAACTGTTTCACTAAGAAACTCTACCAAGCAAAGCAAAGCCAACTTGTTGAGCAACTTTCTCCATCTGTTCTGGTATAACAAGTAGAGGTGAGGATTTCTGATTGGTATATGTAGGTTGTTAGAGGTAACAAGATAATAGAGATCATATCCAAACACTACTGGGTTGCTTTCAGTTAGTTCAGTTCAGTTCGTTTCTGAGATCATGAAATAAAATCAAATCATGATCTTTCCCTGCAGTGCTAATGGTTTGGAAGTACCTGAAGGCCTCATACCCAGAGAGTGGTGGTCAACGGCTCTATGTCCAGATAGAGATTGGTGAGTAATGGGACTGAAGCTCTTTAACATCTTCATCAATAAGATCAGCAGTGGGATCAAGTGCACCATCAGCAAATTTGCAGATGACGCCAAGCTGTGCGGCGTGCTCAACACGCCATTGGGATGGGATGCTGTTCACAGGGATCTAGACAGGCTCCTGCACTGGACCCATGTGAACTTCACAATGTTCAACAAATCCAAGTGCAGGGTTTTACATCTGGGTCGTGACAGCCTCCACTCGAGTACAAACTAGCGGATGTAAGGATGGAGCACAGCCCTGGCAAAAAGGACTAGCAGTACTCATGGATAGGAACCTGAACATGAGCCAACAATGTGCCCCTGCAGCCCAGAAAGCCGACTGCATCCTGGGCTGCATCATAAGATGCATGACCAGCACAATGAGGGAGGTGACCCTGCCCCTCTGCTTTGCTCAGATCTCACCTGGAGCACTGTGTCCAGATATAAAGTTCTCAGGTGTACAGGAGAAACATGGACCCATCGGAGCACATCCAGAGAAGGGCTAAAAAATGATCCAAGGGATGCAAGATCTTTCCTATGAGGACAGGTAAGAGAGTTGGGGCTGTTCAGCCTGGAGAAAAGAAGGTTCCAGGGAGACCTGAAAGTGGCCTTTCAGTATCTAAAGAGGAGGTGTAACAAAGAAGACAACAGAGTCTTTAGCAGGATCTGTTATAACAGGACAAGGGGAAATTGCTTCCATACTAAAAGGGGGAAATTCAGATTGGATATAAGGAAGAAGTTTTTTATGATGAGGGTGGTAAGGCACTGGAACAGGTTGCTTAGAGAGGTGGTGGGAGCACCATCCCTGGAGATGTTCAAGGTCAGGTTGGGTGGGGCTCTGAGCAACCTGATCTAGCTGTATGTGTCCCTGCTCATTGCAGGGAAGTTTGACTAGATGACTTTTAGAAGTCCCTTCCAACTTGAATGATTCTATGAAAAGTGAGCCATTTACAGACAAAGATGGTAATTATCAGTGACAATTTACCAAAAGCTCAACCATGCCTACTGATGAGATCTTAACTTCTACCTAATAATTAAAAAATCCCAGCTCCAAGCTGTTACTAGAATCATGTAGTTAGCTAGAAAATGGATTTTTTCCTGTAGCACAGAGGTCCATCACTGGTAAGAAAGCCTATATGTACCCAGCTGGTCTGCACAGGAGTCGCAAGCAACTCTCACCTCGACTTAATCTGTTATTTAGAGGAAGCCCACTCCAAGCATTCCTTTTCTGCCTTCTGCCACACCGCATGTTGAGTCATTCCTAAAGTTTGTTTCTTTAACTTGCAGACACAACTCTTCAAAATGCCCTTTATTATCTTTTTTTTTTTTGTGCTCAATCCAAACTAACAGAGTAAATATTTTCCTCCTGAACATCCTCTTCTGCTCATGTTTCGCTAAGAGGCCAGAGTAATATTAATACCTTGGGTTTTTCTGTTGACTGTTTAGATAACTGAAGCTTCAAGCAGGGAAAAAAACATTCAAGTTTCTTCTTTGCAGTAAGGAGTTCTGTTCTTTTCCTTGTTAAAATCCTGTTTGCAAGACAGCATGTAGAATTACAGAATGACCTCGGTTGGAAGAGATCTTAAAGCCTGCCAGCTCCAAATCTCTGTCATGGGCAGGGCTGCCACCCACCAGCCCAGGCTGCCCAGGGCCCCATCCAGCCTGGACTTGAGCATCTCCAAGGATGGGGCACCACAGCTTCTATAGGCAGCTGTGCCAGCGCCTCATGATTTCTGAGTAAAGAAATTCTTCCTAACATCTAACCTAAATCTCCCCTCTTTAAGTTTAAAGCCATTCCTCCTTATCCTATAAAGTCGGTTTCCTGCTTGTAAGCTCCCTTCAAGTACTGGAAGGCCACAGTGCAGTCTTCCCTCCAGAGCCAAGCTGAACAAGCCCAAATCCATCAAGCCTTTCTTCACAGGAGAGGAGTTCCAGTCCTTGCAAGCTGTACCTACAAGCCCATCCCTCCTTATACTCACTAGGGCCCAGCCAGGCCAGCCATCTGCACTTCCCTACGGATGGCTGTACTGCTGGCACTCTCTCCTAGTGTCTCCAGACAGGGGTCTAGCAGGCTGTAGTGATGGTTGTGCACAGAATAGTGCTTGGATGTCCCTGGTGGCTTTCTGTGGTTCATTCCCAAACAGCAATGGGAGGCCCCATAGGGTCCTTTGCCAAAAGGCTGCAGCTCAGGGGAGAAGGCAGACAAATGTTTGTCCACCTGGCAGGCACTCACTGCAGAATAGCATTTGAACTTCCATTTGTCAATAAGCAGTTATCTCAAGTGACAGACAAGGAAAACAGTAGCATCAAGTAACTCATGACAAACAAAAAAATCAATTTGTCAGAGCACACTTACTGTCTTAGCATTATCAGTGACAACTGTTCAGTCTTACTGGCAGTGCATACATCTGGCTTCAGGGTCTCACTAAGCTCCCACTTCCAAAGCCTCCTCTGTCAATTAGGCTGCATCCATGCAGATCATCATTCCCACCACCATTTGTCAGATCCCAGATGATCTTGCTGCTGTACCCTCACGACTCCAATTTTACATCTGCCTGCACACCACAGCCTCTGAAAGTTCACCAGACCCTGCAGGTCATGCAGCACCACACAGAACTCTGCATTTTTTCACAAAGATACAAAACAACATCTGGCTGTGCATCAGATAGCAACATCTGTGCTTTCCACCTAGGAATGTGCAGAGGTTAATTCCACTGTGTCATCCCAGGCAGACAAGTTACAACTGCTTGTCTCCTTTCCTCTTTCCAAGAAGGATCAGAAACAGAAGGAAAAATATCAGTCATCACTCTTAATATAAATGACAGGAATCACTCTTACATCCCCTTTCCCTCCTCCTCTCCATGTCCAACCTGAAGGAAGTCACACCCCCAGGTTCATTCTGCACAGCTAATGCCATCAGTGTAGAGGTAGATGGGGCTTTAAACTGTGCTCTCTCTTCATCTTTTAAGGGCACAAGTTTCAAGCTGACATATTTTAGTTAGCTTACACATGTGGGCACCCTCTTCCAACATTCTGAAGTGCAATAACATTCATTTCTGTCCTAAAAGTAAGGTTTCAAGGTAAAACTTTTCAAGGTAAAACCATCTGCATCAAGATCACTTACACATTAGTTACCTTGGGCATTCAGTAACTTTGGAACATGGCAGCATCATTTTTAGAAGATCCATGATGGCACAAAATTCTCTATTTTTAAAGTCCTCAGCCCGTGGCAAGTGTGGCACAGCTAAAATTCACGCACAGGAAGTGACACAAAGTGAAACCAGAACTGAAGAGCACGCAGGAGCTCAGCAGGCTGCTCCAGCGGGCACACATACTGCTCAGAGCTCTGATCAAAACAAAGCTGGGAGAAACAGGCAAGGCAGCTGTGTCACATGGACCTGAAGCAGGTAGCAAAGGCTGCTGGATGACAAATTGTGACAGACTCTGCTGGGGCGGCATAGTCTCAGCTCACAGTGATGAAAATCATGCTGGCATCTCCCCTGCAGCAGCCGACCCAGCACCTTGCCCCAGTGCTATGGCCCTGGGCGATGGTCAAAGCCCCATGTACGTGACAATGTCACGACAATACTTCTTGGATTTTTAGTCCTCCACATTTATGCAACACAGCTGAACTAAGACAACACAACTGTCCTGGTCAGCCCACAGCCTTCTCACCTGACAAATGCTCACTGAAAGCAATCTTTGGGCATCACAAGTTGCCTTGAATCATATCCATTTGCACGAGCATGTGGTGCAAGCAGCATCTGTCCTCGCTGGTGACATGGAAATAGGAGCTAGGGATGCACCTCCTGACTTTGTCAGGAGCTTTCAGCACAAGCAATAGAGAAATCCCAATTGCTGGGCACTGGTTCCTGAGGCTGTCAAAAGTGGATGGTATTGGTCCTCAGCAATGAAAAATGGGGAAGAAACTACAGTCAGAGTAAGGCTACAAAAAAAAACTAGAAGTTGTTGACAAAAATTTTTCAGGAAATTCATTAAGTGACCTGCTGTAGCTCTGCAGTATCTGACAGCATGTTTGCCTTCACTGGAGCCTTCTCAAAAAACAGACAGGAACACCTCTCTCTCTCTCTCTCTCCACTTCTTGTCACTCTGGGGTTAAACTTCGACTTTATATAGGTTCAGATGACAGATAACCCAACCACATGTTACACTGTTAACTGGAAAAAAAATACACAACAACCTTTTCATCATATCTAATCTTGTAATAACTAAACTGCCTAGCACTGGTGCTAGGCCCAGGAGTTGGATGGACTGTCAGAAACTCTCTCAAAGCAGAAAACAGATCCGTAAGAGACTCAGGATCAGATGTTGGACAGCAACTCTTGACTTCACAGTATGACTCATTTAGAATGTCTGAATACAAACAAGATTATAATAGGACTAGTAAGGCCCACTAGTAATTTTTAAAGAACAATTTCCTAGCCTAAACCAAAAGGAAATTAAGAAGTTCCTTAAGGTGAGCTTTATGTAATTCTATAATCACTCTCACAAATTTACTGTGTCCTGACAGCAGCATAACTGACAACCTTTGGACACCTGCACACTGGTTAGTCACTCATGTTTTCAAAACATCTCAATGACAGCCACACTCACCTCCCCTCGTGTCATTCAATGGCACTGTGACTCCCACAGTTCAGCTGTGTGGGGGCAGGAGGTATGGGATAGAAGTGTTTCTGAAACCTCAAACTCACTTGCCTGGGTAATCATGTAAGGTCAACTGCTTTCAGACGTGAAGCTCATGGAAAATTGCAGGCCTTACTGAAAAACCTGTCCATATTTGTTGTCGTCGTCTTGAGAGATAAGACATGCGGGTTTAACCTAGAGACTGTATCTAAGAAACAAGGTGGACAGAAAGTCGTGATGCTGAGTGGGAAAGCCATATCATTCATCAGGGAACCTGATCCAAAATGTTAAACAAAATGAAAAACAAACAAACAAGAAACAACTTCCATCCCAATGGCAAAAAGAAACTTGGAACTATGAAAATGAAGTATTTTTTTCAACGGCCCAAATCTAAAAAGCACCAGTAAGAAGCATTTTACTGCTGCTTTTGTCCTTGAAAATTGTATCTAACACCCTTCACTTTTTACATGACCCTTATACAAAACTGCCAGTATACCATATAAATAGGCACAGCTGCAGCTTTTCCTCATGGTATCTCTTTCAATTCTTAATTATTTACCCAACAGTAACAACATACAAGGAACAAGCTTCAGTGATTATAAAACAATTTTCTGAAATTAAAATCCCAAATGGATCATTTATTTCTTCCTATGTCCTACACGTTTTAACTCCTTGTTTCAGCACTTGCAGACACCGGTGTGGGTCAAACAAGTGGGAGTAACTGCAATTTCACACAGCAAAGAGCAACACATAGCCTCAAAATACACTTACTAAATAGCAGATTCTTTTTCCAGCAAAAGGTGGTATAAGCTGAGTTAAGTTGGTGCAGCTCCTCCAAAGAGCAGACAATTGGTTCCTATGAAAAGCTGTGCAAAATGAGAGAGCTGGACCAGCAACCACTGAAGCAGAAACACAGCCTGAAGTGCATGGCTGGAAGGCAAATAGGCAGGGCATGGCATCCTCACATAACAAGACCTACTTGGCAGTGACTTCAGAGACACATGGACACATGGTACTCAGGACTATGGACAGTTGGGGAGCGGTTCAGAAACGATGCACGATCATCCTCCTGAGCCTTCCCAAACCACACGCTCATTTCTGGACTCCTCTGCTCAAGACCCTCACCTTTCCAGTGGAACAGAAGCCGGCTTGCAACATTTAAATTCAGATTCAACACGGTGAAAACTAAACAAAGAGCAAAAGCCCCAACACACACCCAACATGAAACAGCACACGGTGCTTTAAACCCAAGACAAACCATGTATTTTAAGGCGATCACACAGAGCATTCAGAACACCCAAGTTCTCAAGGAAAAAACAAGAAACCGAACTCCCAACATATAAAATCCTATCAGGAAGAGCTGTCACACTCTGCTCCAACAAAACCCGACGGCGGTTCACAGCCCTCCAGCCAGCCCCAGGCAGGTGCTCTCTGCCTTACACACCAGCCTTAGCCTTCCTCGGTTCACGGTGCCGCTCCCCTGGGGAACCCGCGAAGCAGCTTTTCGGATATTCCCATTTTTGAAAAACAGCCTCAAAGAATTCAGATGGAAAACAAAACAGTGAAGAGAAAAATAAATAAATAAATAAATAAATAAAAGGAGAATCAGCGAATAAAATCTCCATACACATGCCCCCACCCCCAAATGCTCGGCCGGCCCCTCCGCAGCCCCCTCCGCCCCCGCCTCACCGCGCCCGCTGGAGGCCGGCTGGAAGCACCGATGGGCTCCGGCCCCGCCCCGTGCGGCCGAGGGGCGGGCAGCGCCGCGGGGCCGCCTGTGCCGAAAGGCGCGGTGCAGGGGGGCGGTGGCTTTTACCCGGCAGCCCTGCCGTGAGTGCCGGGCGGTGCCTTGCCCTGTGCTGCGTCTTGTGGCTGAGGTTGTGTCGGTGGAGGGTAGCGCCACTGGTGTCTGTCTGAAGCTGAGCTCTGGAACGTAAACGCGACTTAAGAGTCGGATTTTGTGCTTTTTTTTTTTTTTTTTTTTTTTTTTTTTTTTTTTTTTTTTTTTTTTTTTTTTTTTTCCATCATTAAAATTTCATTTCCTTGCTATTTCATTCATTAACAAAATGAAGTGTTTTTTTGTCCAGAAGGAAGTTTTCCTTTGCCAGATCCTTGAAGCAATCCTTTAGCTGTAATCTGTCCCTGTTTGAATAAAACGATGTAATTTATATTCTGGTTACACATTAAGGAACACTTTTCCTTCATGTCCTGAGGGACTCTGTGGGAAAAACAGAAGGGAATTTTAATGGCCTGAGCAAGTGACGCAGGCTTAAATCTTTTACAGAGTTATAAGCAGTTTGCACCAGCACAGGGCTAGGACAAACTTGCAGGGCTTTTTCTTTTTTTTTTTTTTTTTTTTTTTTTTTTTTTCTTCCTAGAAGAGTGGAAGATATTAAAATGTTTGGAGATAAACCTTTTAAATAGCAGTGTGCCCAGCACTAAGCTGGGAGGCCACAGAAAGCTATGAGCAGATTTGTCTAAGGAAGTACATGTTTAAAGATCAGCTAGGAACAGCAAGGTCAAAAGATTGGCTTAATCTAGCTACATGTATCCTTGTTCATTGCAGGGGAGCTGGACTAGGTGGCCTTTAAAGGTTCCTTCCAGCTCAAATGATTATACAAAGGCCTGAAGCTGGCGCTTGTTACTTGTGCAGCACTGTGTGCTGCTCCTCAGAAAAAAATTCATCTTGGAGGAAAAAAAAAAAAAAAGAAAAAGAAAAAGAAACAGAAAAAGAAAAAGAAAAAGAAAAAGAAAAAGAAAAAGAAAAAGAAAAAGAAAAAAAAAAGGGATGTCACCACTGGGCACTTTTATGCTGAGCTCAGTTAGTCCATGCTCCAGTTTGCCTCCAAGGTGAAGTGTAACGTGCTGCTGGAAAGGGGACACACAGCAGGAAGCAGTGTTGCCTGCATTGCACTGGGCTCACAGTGTCAGGGCTCTGCTCCTGGACCTGTCCCACCTGCAGCAGCCACAGTCTTCGCTTCCCCGCCAGCTCCAGACATTTCCTCCTTGGCTCAGACTCTCAGTGTCAGTGTAGCTTCATGCTCCAGCCAAACCTACATTTGCCTCTTTCCACGCACTCTATATTGTGTTAATATCTTGGGATTTAACAGATGGTTTCCATGTGCAGCCCGCCGTGAAAGTTAGTGTTGATCTGTCTGCTGACTCACTGGAGAAGAGAGGTGAAACACACATAGTACAAAAGCTGCAAATCAAGCCCCATGCAATGAGTCCCTCTTAACTGGCTCTCTGCTCTCCTCTCACAGCATTCACTCACTACATGGGTGCAATACCCAGAGAACAAGCCTCTCTCTGGTACTACAAAGGTTCAGAAAGCTTGTCCAGGTGAGAACTTTCCCAAAATGCCTTGGAAAACCATGCCAGAAACTAGAGAAGGTCCAAGTTTGAGCGGTTGCTTAAAGTGTTGCTTGCAGAAGCAGTGCCTTGGAACAGGCCTGTATCTGTGGGGACAAGGGAAAGTTCCAGGAGCTCAGATCAGAGCAGCCTGTGTCTGATTCTCTTCATCCAGACTTTCTGCTTGTGGCACTTTGCTGTGTGCCAGTAGCAAACCTCCACTATTACAGGATATTTAAGATATTTCCTGCTTTTAGGGAGCTCTGTGAGTTTTCCCATAGCACAAACCACACCTTCCTCTGTTTCTCCAAGCTGCAGGCCTGCCCTGGGACAACCTCACTCTGCTTGTACTCACACAAGACTGCAGAGCAATCACAACAAAAGCTTACACTGAAAGCTACACTAAGCAAATATGAAGATATTTTGTTTATCTCTGCTTAAACTAGTAAATCATCAGCAGAAGAAAACGCACATTTTTGCTCCCATCTGCAGGTGAGTGACAGGAGCATAAAGAACCTCAACAATTCAAAAGGAGTGCTAAAAATATTTGCTGAGACAAAGGCAAACATATCCAGCTGAGTAAAAGTGGGAAACTCAGTAGGGGGCTGACAAGAGCTTCAGTCTTCGGGTTTTCAAGTCCATTACTAACAATCAGGAACAATTTCCTCATTTGTTATAGCTTGCTACTACTGCTCAGGTCGTGTATAGTCTGGCACAAAGGTAAAAGCAGTGCCCATGCAGCTGTGATCTCCACAAGAGTGTCCTGTCTGGGACACCAGTCTGGGGGGATGCCGTAATTTAGAGCACAGCTCCAGGAACTTACCAGCACTTCTCTTTGAGTGGTTAATTCTGCTTCTCTTTTCTTGCTCAGTGAACTGGTCTCCACTTTGAATCGAGTTCTTGTCATGTCGCCTCTGCATCTCCTCTCTAGTGTCTTCCCAGCTGGATCTCTCTCTCCTGCTTCTTGTCCTGGGACAGAAAATGAGTCCTCAGAGACTGAGTTTGTCTTTACAAATCAACAAACTGTGAAAGGATCTGACTTCCCGTTTCATTTCCGTTCAAGTTTTCAAAGTCACACAGGCTGTGTCTGCTTCTCTATATCCAAGCCACAAGAAGAATCATCAAGCATAACTCAGCTATTTATAAATGTCACGTTGTTACCTCACTGCATGCCTTCCAAGTTGTTCCAGTGCTGGAGATGGCAGGGTGATTTTCAGGCTGTGATGTACCTGAGTGATCTGTATCTTAGTAGTCCTCAGAGTTTGTCTCGGAGCTGCCTCTTCTTTAAGTCCTTGTCATGTTTGATTACTAAAGATTTAACGTGTGGTCAATGTACTTCTGCAGAAACACAGTGACTGTGAAGGTGTGGTCCACATGAGCATCCTTTCTCTGTTGAAATATGGACAATGGATAAAAGCAAAATTTACACAGATATAATTAATCACTTCATGGATATACTAGTATCCATGGAGACATGGATACATGGATACTAGTTGATGTTTTTTTTTGTTTGTTTGTTTTTTACAAGAGTCCTCTTGAGACAGTCTTTCCTATTCCCTCCTCACTTGAGGTTAATTGAGGCCGGTGGTTTCTCAACAGTCTGACTGCTAATTCTTAATTACACCGGAGGAAAATATATCATGGTGCCACAGCCTACAAGTTCACTGAATCCAGTCTCCCGCTCTGAAAATACCCACAAGTTCCTGCTTCAGAGATGGAGGCAACTATTTGCCCTGACTATTGACTGTTTCTCCATATTACAGATGGATTAAAAATATTCCTGGAATGCGTATGGTTACTGACTCACATTTTCCCTTTCATGGGAATGGTGATTTCCCTGTTTACATTTTTTTGTTACATTACTTCTGTTAAATTGATTTTTAAAATTGTATTTCTCCATTATCATAATTGTACCGAGAATGTTTGCTTAAAATACTAATGGAAATCTGGAACAATAGGGTAGGTAAATAACCCTTACTTATATTATTTTAATCCATTTATTGGCACCTCAGGAGCTGAAGGTGAAGGCTGTTCTCGTCTCAGCCCAACGTTGGGCCTCTGGACAGCAAGCCTGCAAAGTCTTCTTTTTCACCATTTGCTGTGGGGGAAGGAAAGGAAAAACAAAGAATTTTTCTCTTTTGGTGTTGTTCTCTTGTTGCCTTTGGATGCGCTCCAAAGGCCAAAGTGAACACCTAAAGGCAAAGTATTTGTAGATATATGGAGATGCTTATATGTACGTATACAAGTTTGTTTGTTTGTTTCTTTGTTTTTGGCTGTGTTCAGCTTTCATTAGCAGCATAAGATAATTCTGAGAGGGGAAACACTGTGGGCTGGCTACAGGAACAGTGCATCACTAAGGGGAGATTTGGAAAGAAAGCTGGTGGAAGAGAAGAACTGCAGATGCCCTTTTTTTTTGTTTACTTCATCAGCAGTATTGTGTTTGTTGTTAGTTTCTTTGTTTTGGTTTTGTATGTGTGTGTTGTGTGTTTCATAAACAAAGCAAAAAATAATTGTTTATTTTAAATGATGTGGCAAAAGCAAAATACATTTGCTGCATTAAATTCATTTTTATCTCCTGAAATTCCTCTGTTTTACCTCATAATTCTTTTCATGTGTCAGGTTGACTTGGACCTGGCAGAAACAATTGTGGATGGGTAGCAGTGCAACTCACCCTCTTTTTGTTGATTTCCACATTCTTTATTCCACGTACTATATTTCCCAACCATCTGGATAACTGTTTATCAACTCTTCATGCTTCATCCACTCCGAGATTTATGCAGGGTCATGAGGAGAAGGGGAAGACAAGGGTAAAGTAGAAGGTGGCATCCTTGGCATGCTGGAGGCAGCGAAGGCCTGGGTGATACAGCCCACAAACTGAGAGTGGCTGTGCTTTGCTCAGCAGCCAGTGTTTGCATGCCTGCATGTTTGCACTCTTTATCACGCTCACAAGCTGACGAGGAAATTTCCTTTGTCCACCCCCACACTTCTGTGGCTGGTGTTATCAGCATGCCCCTCCTACCCG